GTTTTCCCCAGGCTTGTTTCAAATAACTGCTCCAAAGTCTGTCCTGCAGGAGCACATTATGTTCCTACTGTTGGTAAAGAATGCAGTTGTACTGGTGCTGACAATAGTTTAAGTGCTAGCATATACAGGCTAAATAAAGCATTAACTCTGCAGCGTGATAAAGGGTACTATGGTGATGAGTGTAGTGTAAGAACCAAACAGAATAGAATAGGGTGTGTCTACACTTAGGATTTTCCCCAAATTTTCCAGCCATTGTCCTACCTACATCTTACCTCCAACTTGGTGTCTGCTTACAAAAATTTTGTAGAGCTCTCCTCATTCCATTATCCAAGTCATTAATGAAAATACTGAATAGTTCTGGATGGAGGATTGACCTCTGTGGGACCCACTAACTACACCCATACAGTTGGATAGCAAATAACTGATAACTACTCTTGGAATATGGTCTTTCAACCAGTTGATCACTCACCTTATAATAATTTCATCTAGACCATGTTTCCCTAGTTTGCTTATGTGTCTGTCACAAAGAACTGGATGGCTTTTTAAAGTCAAGATATAACTCAGCTACTGCTTCCCCCGTAGGCCAGTAATCTTGTCAAAGTAGGAAGTTAGGCAGGTTTGGCACAATTTTTTCTTGACATTTCCACTTCGGTTGTACCTTTATCCTTTTATCCTCTACTTGCTTAAAAACTGACTGATTAGTACTTTGTTCCATATCTTTTCAGGAGTCAAAGTTAGACCGACCTATCTATAATTCCCCACATCTCCTCTGTTCCACTTTTTAAAAATAGGTATTATAAGGGCTGACCTCTCCTCTAGACTTTATGTGTCACCAAAACTAATCCTTTTAATATCCTATTAAAAACAAAAAATTAGAACAAGCCAAGTGAGAACTTTCTCATCTTAAAAGTTGTATGCATTTCTCCCCATTTTACTGCAATAATCTTGACACAAAGCACCGGTGGTTCTTTTTTTTACAGCCCTGAGGGATCGAGGCCTTTTGATATTGTAAATGCTGACATAACTTCACTGAATTCACAGAGCAATTACTTTTTGACAGAGAACAAAAAATGCAATTGATGAGGCACCAGATGAACGTCAGAGCCACTTAAACTGTCACTTTTACATTGGAATAACATGTCTTTGGGATGGATAAATGCACTGTTTATGCCCAGTGAAGCCAAATTTTGAAAAGAAATTGGTCTAAGCCACAAAAGTCAGATCTAGATCTAAATTTCCCCAATACCCAGCTCGCTTCAGATACAGAGTTTATATTCAGACGTGTTAGAAAGATAGTGCCTCAAAGTTCCGATCCACATCTGGACTGTCCTGACATTGGGGGTGCAGCATTTGGATCCAGAGTTCTGGTTCATTCCCATCTCTATCAGAAAATGATCAAATACTGAAATTAATTTTGTTTCAACAAGGAGATCAAATTATACCCAGCACATGTATACTAGACATTTATATAGTCCCAAAAAAGCTACTTATGTTTTGTGTGATAGTTTAAAACAGTTTAATTTTAGTATCTGTTCATATCTTATTCCACAAACACAGGGATTAGGAGACCATGAACTCATCACATTTCTATTCTTCCTTGTCTTTGGTGGGGGAAAAAAGGCTTCTGTTTTGTGACACACACTTTAGCCCTTTGTTTGATAACACACAAATGAATAATCACCCTCACTTCCTTCCATGTACACACTCTCCCCCCACCAAATACAAGGAATTAACTGTAAACTAGATTTGAGTCCATTTGGTGAAAGTGAAGGGAATTCCCCAAAGCCAACATGGCGTTTTTAAGCTTTTGCTTCCCTTGAGGAAGCAGCAATTTGTGCTTCTATTGTTTGTCAGGAACCTTCCCTCCTACTTCCAGACTTCCACTGAAATAGATTACATGTTTTCTGTCAGTAACACACTAGCCTCATCTCTAGTTACTGACTTAAATTACTCAACTATGCAAACACCCAATTTCAGACTACTTAAAAAAAATAACAAAACCCAAAAATATTCAATGAAGGAAAGATTTTGCAATAATTACTATGAAAAGTTCCAACTGGCAAAATTCTCTAGTACCTCCCAAAACATTCATTCTAGATGCCTTGGCCATACTTTTTAATCTATTCACCATTTAATTCACATGATATACGCTACCTGATTTTCTAACACGAGTATTTTGGAGGATTGCAACAACCATTACTAGAAATGGGAGTTTGCATTCTTCTTGATATCAATCATATAGATAACTGTGCAGGTTGCTGCACCACAGCCTTTAACTCCTTCCAGCCTACTGAGAATTAAAGGTCATGCAATGTCATTTAAAAGGAACTCTCTCTTAAATTAGCATTGAGGCCTTGGATTTGCCCTAAAGACCTTGGTGTGACAAATAAGCTCCTTATGTGGAGTATAGACACACAAAAATATAGTTATCATTTTCAAGAACAAATTAATTACATTTTGCTATCGTACCATCTATATGCATTTTACACATTCTTCATTAGCCTGACAAAAGAACGGTATGGAGTTTTCTGGAATACGTCTAGAGTCTTATTATTATGCCACCTATCTCCAGCCTCAGCTCTTGCTCCTTTTCACAAATAGTAAGAAAGGAAGCAATAAAGTATTACTGTAGTACTTGCCAGTATTAAATTATATTAAAACAAAACAACACAACAACAATAGAGAACCAACAAGACCAGTTAGGCAATAAACAGACTGTAGGCTGAACATGTTTTGCAGGGTTAGATGAAGGTGCACTGCCACCACAATAGTTACTTGTGCCTCTGCAGGTATAGCCACTCAACTCCTGTTGGCCACGGATCACTGTTCCAGGCCAATGGGAGCTGCAGGAAGCCACGTCCCAGTCTGAGTAATTTCCATGGCTCCCATTGGCTGGGAACAGTGATCTGTGGCCAACAGAAGCTGCAAGCAGTTGTATCTGCAGATGCACAGGTAAATATAGTGCTGGCAGTGCGTTGGAGCTAACCCTGGTGAACCAATCCAGTCTGTAAGCTGTTTATTGCCCATCCCTGAATAAGGCACTAAACAAGCCAGGTTTGCACAATTCTGAATCACATTGATTTTCTCCTGCACTCCTCTCTTTGTACATTATCTAACAAAGGGTATGATAATCTGCTCCAAGGTGCTGAACTCCATGACTGAGACTGAATGTTTAGGGTGCTTAGCATCCTAAAGACAGGGCTGTTGGGTTCTGAATTCTATGGAGAAAAGACTGTGTCTTCGACATTGCATGTAACATTGTTGTAGCAATGTCAGTCAGTCCCAGGATATTAGAGAAAAAGGGTGAGTGAGGTACTATGTTTATAAGACCAACTTCTCTTAGCGAGACAGAAACTGAAGAAGAGTTCTCTGTGGGTTCAAAAGCTTGTCTCTCTCACCAACAAAAGTTGTTCCAATAAAAGATAGTATCTCATCCACCTTGTCTCACTCTGCCTTCTGCGGTCTTTAGAACTTCATACGGATTTATAGTGTTGCATAAGAAATAACAAAAACAGACAAGGAAATCCCATCTTGTTGTTATGGTAAAAGACTGTCGAAATTGGATTTTCCTACTAGGGTAGAGAACTCAAAAAAAATAACTTTAATTGTCCCATTAAGTAAATGATAACCCATTCCAGCAACTCCTACCATGCTAAACAACTGATAAGTAAGTTTGCAGTATTAAAAAAAAAATTATAAAATGGCACTACCGTATTTTCCAGCGTATAAGACGACTTTTTATACTAAAAAATATCCCCCAAAAATCGGGGGTCGTCTTATACGCCGGGTATAAACATACTGTAGCTTCGGCTACATACAGAACGTCCCTATTATTACCTTTTAGCCCGCTGGATGTGCCCTAATACAGTACTGTAGCTTCGGCTACATACAGAACGTCCCTGTGCTGATACTGTATGTACCGTGCTGAGCCAATCACGGCAAGCTGTGTCATCTATTAATGCATACAAAGCCTGCTCGGATTGGCTGAGTCAGAGAGGCGGGCTATTACAACCTTTGCCAATCCGAGCAGGCTTTGTATGCATTAATAGAATACACCGCTTGCCGGGATTGGCTCAGCGCGGTACATACAGTATCAGCACAGGGACGTTCTGTATGTAGCCGAAGCTACAGTACTGATGTTATTAAATGGTGTTACCTCGGAAGGGGGGGTAGTCTTATATGGCGAGTATAGGCCAAAACCTATGTTTTAACTGGAAAATTAGGGGGTAATCTTATATGCCCAGTCGCCTTATACGCCGGAAAATACGGTATCTACTCTAACATGCTGCCATAACTTGCATTTAAAAATAATCAGTTCTATTTTACTATCTTCTGCATGAATCCCTTTCACTTTCAGACGGTCTTTATCAAGCTAAATATTTTTCATCATCTCTCTCCTATAGGGGCAGCAAGCAACAAAACTGTAATGAAAGTTAATGTAATACCATTATTTTCCCACACTCTCAAGAGATGCAATACTTCCATTCAGCTGCCTCTAGTGTACAGCATATGGCTAGAAAAGATACAGGTGGAAGAGAAGAATCTGGAATGAGAGTTGATGTGGTCAATCTCTCATGAGACTTATTTAAACGCAACTTGTACGTGCAGGACTGCTGTAGTACTACTTGGCATTTCAAGATGCCTTCAGGGTGTTAAAGAAACACTACTTATTTTAAAAAAGTTTTATATCCTCAGACATTAGTCCTAATTCATAGATCCTGCAGGATAACTGAATATTGACACAGCTAACCAAAGAGCTATCAAACCCTTCAAAGTCTGTTTTTAATCCTTTTGTAAAATCTGCTGATGGGTCATGAAGGCTAGAAAAGTTAGCTAACTCTGTATTTCATAGTGCTGGCAATGATGGCTGAAAATGCTTTTACATGAACACAATTTCCTCTTCATTTCCTGTGGTATTTTTCTTTTAACAGACTAACAACTCCTCTGCTAGCGGAAACACTACAACTCTCAGCAGGCGCAAGTAACAGCCAAAGACACACCTGATAATAAATCTTGATGTTTCTGACTAGGATGGTCAGATTTTGGATTCGGAGAATGACATCATTATTGACGTGCTTGTTGACACGCTGGTTTGTCGGACGTGGATCTCTAGGGGGAGGAAAAAAGGAGAAAACCAAATTTTAGTGTGAGAGTAAGGCATCAGTGCTATCCTGTCACACTACAGTAGTGCAGTGCAAAGACGATTCTTGACCATTTGAGTATTTCAGTAAAATTAATACAAACTTACAGCACAATAAACTAACGAAATATTCATACACTCTATGTAACACACTTAACACATTTTGGATGTGGCAATTCAAGAGTCTCCCGCACTTCTAAGCAACAGCACCCTGCAATCACTATGTGCCCCCAGAGCAAGAGGCATGTGGCATATACACAGTTAAACTATCCCTGACTCAAGGAAATCTCATTAATCCATCAGCCATTTTCTGTCTTGCCCAACTAGATTTAAACTCTGTCTTATTTTGAGTGTTCAGTGTGTAGCACAATGGGACCCAGGTCGTGGAAGACATACAAAGGTGCATATTTGTGGGAGAGAGTGATTAATCAAGGGGGGAGGGGGAGATTCGGAGGCTAGAAGTTTTGTTTGTTTTAAAGGAAGTGACTACAACTGAACCTTGAGGGTGGAAAGATATTACTGGTTTTGAAATAAAAGAAAGCCTCAAATAATTAACTGAATCTGTATGCAAGTTATACAAATTAATGCATCTCTAAAGGGATCTGAAAAACTTGGGACCCCGAGTTCAATGTCAGAGTGTTATCAGCTAACCAACATAGGCATCTGCATCCAGGGCTCTGCTTTGGCTGTTAATCAAACCATTAACAAAACCTCTAAAGGAAACACTGAATTTGGGTGTTGACAGGTGAATTAGAGGGAACTATGAAACCATCAAAGTGTACTTAAGTGCCTTAAGCAGTTAAGAATCTTTGTATTTTTAAATACAATCACCTCAATTCATCTTTCCACTGATCATGGGTGATATGTGTAGACATCACAGTATCTCTCCCATTAAAGAGAAGATGGTTTTGCTAAAATACTTGACACCTATATGCATGTGCAGCTGGTGTTTATAAATGCACTGAGAAGCAGAGGGATAAATTTGACACTGGCATAAGTGGGCAAGACTGTTTTTATGCACTCTTACAGAATCAGTAAAGTTTGGCACAGAGTGCAGTTTTAATGCACAAGTCAAGAAAAAAAAACATAGGACCTCAGCATAAAACACCATGCTATCAGTTTTGCTTGAACTTCCTCATTTGTGTTGATGTTTGCAACCCTAAGATAAACTTGCCTTTGCTACTGAAACTGGTGCTCAGACACTATAGCAGTGGGGTCATACAAGCGAGACAGCTGTGCAGCAGCTTAGACAGCTGTGCAGCAGCACAAGACAAGACACGTGCAGGATTTTAAAGCTGAATCTGGGTTTGGCCTCTCCATGTCCTTGTTAGACCAGCCTTTGTGGACAACTCTCTAAAGGATACTAGGAGAGAGACTGATTCTGGTGGCTGCTGGATGCTTAGGCCTTTGAGATGAAAGTCATTACAATACATAGCGAAGCTACAAGGGAACACACAAACAGTGAAGAGAAACTGACCAAAACAGAAGGGACAGTTCTAAGTCCTCCAGGCTCCACATGAACCAATCCGTTCATGAACTGCATCATGATTCTGCTGTCCAATACTAGTGCCCATTAGCCTAAAGTCTAGATACAGAAGAAGAGATGCTATCTTTGGCTATTCTGTTTGGCACCTGCTGTCATACTTTAAACAAAGGAAATATTATTTTGGATGGTTGCTTCTCTCACAAATCTATCACTGGGAGGTCATATGAATGATGATGGGGCTGGAAAATAAGTTGACTTTATAAGTTGCATTAATTAAAAAGCCCACAAAAGGAAAACACACCCAACCCACTGAATACACAAAAAAAGGTTATAGCAGACAACTGGTGTTTCTGCCGCATATTCCTATATAGGACAGTTTTAGGCCCAAGGTGAAATTTTCGAAAGACTAAGTAATTCGCCAGAATAGAGACCACAGTCATGTAGTTTGTGGCCCAATAGGAGAGAAAGAGATACAAGACCACATATATGGCAACTCCAAGCTTCCTAAACAGCATGGTATTTTATGCATGAGGTGAGGTAAACAACTCCTCTCCCTGAACCAGAAATGCTTTTCAACTTCTCATCACAGAAGCATTTTATGAAAAAAAAAATTAATACTCTTTGTACAGCAAATTTAGATACTGGAGATGAACACATGTAACAGGCCAATGGTCACCAACCAGTAGATCGAGATCTAGTGGTAGATCTTGGAGCCTCTGGCAGGTGATTCTGACTGGTTTGGTGAAGAGGCTGGCAAGTACCAGCACTTCAGCTGCTCCTCCTCCCATGGCTCCTCATCTCCTGCCCTTTGTCTTGGAGCTGCCTCTCCCCCTAGGCAGCCTCCTACTTTCTGGGCAGGGCAGGGGAGGGAGAGGAAGGCGCTGATGTCAAGGTGTCTCCTCCCACTCTGTATCCTTTCACCACAAAGCAGAGAGGGGGCACAACAGGACTCGAGATGGAGTTCGCTCTCTACTTTAGGGGGTGGTCCAGAGCTAGAATAGGGGTGAGCCTGCCTTATCCCCACTGCATCAACACCCAGGAGCCACCTGAGGAAAGCAATGCCTAGCTGGAGACCACATCCTGAACTCCTACTCTAGTCACGAACCCCCTCCTGCACTTCAAGCTCCTGCGCCAGCCCCCTGCATCCAAACACAGTCCCAGAGCCTGCACCTAGAACCCCCCCCCACACACATTCCAGATTCCTTAATCCAAGACCAGAGCTGGCACCCCAGCCTGATGAAAGCGAGTGAGGATGGGCAAGAGAGGAAGGACGGAGTGTACAGGCGCAGGGCCTCAGAGAAGGGATAGAGGCGGGGCAAAGGTATTTATATTTGAGGTAGATCTTGGATTGCACTTAAATTCAGAAAGTGATCTTGTGCTTAAAAAGGTTGGAGACCACTGCAACAGGAGATCAGTAAGTTATGACGGTCATGGGAAGTTGCTTTTTGAGACAATGGCCAGTTTCTGGTAATGACCATTTGTCCCCGTTTCCTTGGGTTTACACGATTCTTTAATCTAAAGACCTCTTGGCCCAGTTAATACTTGGACGAACACCTAACCCATGAATACCAGGTGTTCTAGGCACTTCGCTTTTTGGCAACAAAAATTGATACTTCATTATAATATTTTTTAAATAAGCTTTTTAAAATATTTTCCGTGTTTGATCTTCTTTCTAGTGTAAGTGGGCAGCATTATGCAAAGTGGATGGATTGGATTGCTGCTGCTGCTATCTCTACATCACTCACCAGGATTTAAAAATCCACTAGTCCAAGTCTAGCTGGATGTGGAGAGCATGGATGGGCTGAGTGGTGTCAGGGAGCAGAGACAGTGGGATGGTTGGCCACTAAGTGAAGGGAGCAAGTGTGGAATCACAGCAACAATGGGACAGCCATGCCTTTTAGGCACCAGTAAGGCAGGACCAGAGTTGTCCAGGGCCACTTCTGTATCTTCAGGATAAGAGGTAGCAGAGTGGCATCTGCCCCACTTCTTTAACTGGGGAAACCAGAAATGAATGTTTGAATGAGCGGCCGCATATGGGCACATACGGGACAGGTGTGTGAGTTGGAAAATACTGGTCTGAGGAGAGGGGAAGAATATTTATAGAGGTGGGAAAATAAATGAAAACAAAACCAAAAGTGGGAAAAGAAAATACCAGAAATCTAGACAAGAAGCAAAAAAACAGAACTCAGTGCAGGGAAAAAGAGAGGAAATTACTCAGAACACAAAAAAGGGCACAACTCAATCTGTAATAGCAAAGAATAGGGGAAACAAAGTCAGGGAGGGGAAAACCAGGTCCTACAAAATCACAGAATAGTAGTAAGCTGTGCAATAGGAAGCAGGCTTCATATTTACAGCAACAACTTTTTCCTTTAATGAAACTGAGACAAAGAGTCTCAAACTGTGCTTTATGTCCATGATATTGCTTCACATCTTTGTTTCCAGCTTCTAAATTCCAACCATTCTCAGCTCAACCACTGGCCTCCTAGGCAACTTTGAGCAAGTTTCTGGCGGCTCCATGTCTCAGTTTCCCCATTTGCAAAATTGGGTTAATGATACTGACCTCCTTTTGCAATGTGTTTTGAGAGCGCTTAATGAAAAGTTGTTTGTAAGAGCGAGGTATTATTAAATTGTATTAAGAGAAGCTAAAAAGATATCATACTTTGATTACACAGAAAATGAACAGGGATATTATACAATCAAAAAGGGGAGTGACAGCTCACAAGCATCTCTGTATTAAAATATGCCCACCATTATGAATGAGATTGAGAACCCCACAACTGAGTCACACAAGTCCCTTGATAGTCAGCATTTTTCTTAAATCCCCCTGTAATATATGAATACATAAAAATCTCAACTTTCATTTCTAAACAGAAAGTATGTTTTTAGCCCACTGGATTGCAGAGAAAAACTTGAAAACATGGGCCAAGTAGAATCTGAAGGTTTAAAAAAAAAAAAACAAAAACAAAAAAAAAACACCACGAGGCAAATAAAAGGACCACAAAATTATTCATTACAAAAATCTCATGATTTTTAAGCCATTCATGATTTTTTGATGGGTTGGGAAGAAAATGGCATCTTGATGTTTGAGCTGCTAATATGAGGTAACTGTGCTTGAAAGGAGCTCAGAGAGTTAGTCCCAGTTAAAATAGATCATGAACTATAAGAAAGGATTTTTTTTTTTGGTTCTAAATGACAGGTATTACTTGAGTAATTTGTAGCTATAAGTGGGAAGCCTTCAAATAGGGCCCAGAAATTATCCAGTGTCACAGTTCATCAAATAACCAGGGTGTAAGACAAATCTAGACTGATTTTGTCAGCTTTACAAGATATTTTGGGAAGATCTATCCTGAAGTCCCGCCCTCCTGTATTCTTTTGCCTGCACTTTGTTCCTGGAAGTAATTATCTACAAGAAAACAACCCACAAATGAGGTCTTTGTTTAATATACATGATTCAACTATCAGCTTCCTCTTCTTTCATATGTAATGGATTAATGAGGGTAGAATTGGATCCTAAACTGCCTGACAGTGTATTAAAGAAATATTCAAATATGATTTAAAACTGCACTAGAGATATGCTTCAAATAATATAATCCAGGCTCAAGCATATATGTCTGCTTGCTGCTTCCATTATTATATTGGCTACTCCCACCAAATGTACAGAGACCACAGAAGACAGGTTGATTATATTAAAAACCATAAAAATGACAATAAAAATTAAAAGATATTTCTTATACAGAATTTCCATATAGGAATTGCAAAAAGTGACTGTTTTGTCAGGTTCATTTCTGTCCGGTCTAGGTGTATACCCTATTGTTTAACAAGCCAATACACAAACATATACATCAACCATTTCTCAATAAAACACTCCATCATAAGAAGAGAAGGGCTTATATTAACAGATATTCCTAGCCCAATGCAAAAGCTTTGTGTCACTAAGAATCAGTGTCACACCAGGAAGCAACACAAAACTGTATGCAGCAGTCTGAAAAACGTTGAAATGTGGCTGTAGACGTACTAATTCCACCCTAGGGATGTAAAAATCTCGTTTAATCAGTTAACCAGTTAAACACAATAGTTAACCAGTTATCTGATGAAATGAGAGCGGGGGCCCTCCAACCCAGCTAGGCTGGGGCTGCTCTGGTCCCCATCGGTTAATCGTAACTGGCAAGCATCACTTGGTAAAAGGAATGCTTACCAGTTAACCCAGAAGTTCTAGTCCCTTGTCATATTACTCCTGATTCACTACAGATAGCTGTAAGTATCATTTGAATATAGTATCATTTGTTCATAACAAGGGATATTATTTACAGATATGCAGCTATGTCATATCCATGCATAGGTCAGCATGTGCGCCAGAATACAGAAGGAGACCGTCAACAACAAAGAGACTTATTCTGTTTACCAATATCTAAAAATGTTGTGACATTTACACTGGATAGTTGGCCACTGTCTGATTCAATATGTAACTATCACCTGCATGAGTGTGTAGAGAAGCCTATCATGCCCCCTTGCAAAATTAGAGAGGGTCTGAGGTTCTGCTCACTTCTCAGGTCCCTCTGAACTCTGTCTAAAAGAACAGGATGACAGCCAGGCCACTGGCCAGCCCTCACTCCCCTCCCCCAATTCACAGAGCCAGCAGACCTGGACTGGCAAAAAGAACTGCAGCAAGCTGCACTTCCTTCCAAGCCAGCCTGATGCAGTTGTCATGCTCATCTGACTAAGCCCTCCCAAATGCCTCCTGAGGGTTCTGGCTACAGCACAACCCTTCTGCACCCACATTAGCATGCCAGATGGTGTGTAGGGTATAATCCAGCCCTATCACATTTAGAAGTCATTGGTCTGATGGTGTGACTGGAGCCTACCTAACACTTCATAAAGTCAAAGTCCTATGCTTTGCCAGTAATCAAAGTTCACCAAGTTTAACTAGGCAACTTAATAGAGCCACTGGACGCATTTCAACGATGATCTTACATTAAACCGCACTTTGCAGAAGGGTTAACAACAAAACACCTACAGCACAATCCCTGCAGCTTGAAAAAGTTTTGTTAAAGGGTCTCAGTTGAGGTGGTGGTGGTGGTGATACAAATGCCAGCTTCACCAACTTCCTTTGAGAGACAACTGTTTTGCTTAAGGAAACAACTGGGTTTCAATCACATGAGATCATAAAAAAATTCCAAACCTAAAACTGAAACTGGCATTTAGGTGTGAAGTCATACGTCTATGCTGAGTGTGTTCAAACAAGTTTGCCAACAGGATATTCCTCAGGCTAAACAATTTCAAGTACCCCTGACAAGAAGAAAACACCTGATTGGCCAAACAGTTGTCTAACAGCTCTTTACTATGCTCCCCTTCTGTGTGCCTTCAGAGCACCAACACACAATATATTATCAGGTTTGTCAAGGGCCCAATGGTTTCATCAAAAAGGATCTTGAAACATTTTAAATCAACATTACATGGAACCTGAGCAACTGATGACTGAGCATTTCTAAAGCTCATTTGTTTTTCTATTCTGAAAGCTTCGTGGGGCAGAAACACATTGGATCTCCTGATTTACAGGCAAGCAGTAATTGCATTGCAAATTCTAAAGGTTCGCTAAGAAAGAGTGAAGGTCAAGGGCAGTAACTCTCTTCAGCACCTTGCTGGGTTGGGTGTACATAAATACCGAGGCTCATCGGTTAATTGTGTAAAGGGCTACACATTCACATCCTAATTACAATCAGGTCACCTGAATCCTTCCCCTCTGCAATTCAACTGGATTTTATTATTTACACCTTGCCGCAAAATGCACAGTGTGACCTTATTACAGTTCAATTAATAAAAGAAAAATACTCAGTTGCTCATATTTCTTATTGCAAACAGACACCAAGATAAATAAAAAGAGTGTTAAATAAAATCTCTCTGGATGTACTGTTAACATTTCCAACAACGTCCATAAATTAGTTAATTCTGTAGCTACTTAGTTAATTCCAAACCAGCCTCTTTACAGCTGTAACATTTTACTTGTCAGGCATGGAGCTGTACCTTCTAGAAAGACAGACATGAGAAACATGATGTAAAACCCCCTTCCACTTCTACACACAGAGAAAATTCAGATCTCAATCTAAATATTGATGCTTGGAGTCCTGGTTTTACAAACGCTATTTAAAAAATGGTTTTACCATGAAAAATGACTAAGAAACCAGACTTTCTGTAACCAGAGTCATAGCTCATGCACAGGGGAGCAGACAGCCACGCAAGGCCTTAAGAAAGGTTGAGGGGAGGGAGGGAAAAGCTCCCATGATCCCAGAAGGGGCAGAGCATTGGGCAGAAGGGGCAGGGCCAGGGGCAACCAACCCTCTGTGCCAACCAGCACATGCCACACCGGGCCCCCACTTCCCAGCCCTCAGAACCACCAGAAAGGGCCCAGAAGTCACAATGGCAGACGGGTCCTTTAGAAATCATCGGGCCTCAAGGCAGTTGTCACCTTTGTTTCTCTCTCTAGCCCTCCATTAGAGGCCTGCTCATGTAAGATTTTATTAGTTTTTTTAAAACTTCAGTAAGCATTGCAGAAACAATACACCTTAGGGAGAGTGATCTGGATTCTAGATTCTACTTGGGCTCATGTTAACTGTTAGCCAAATTCCATTTACAAAATTTTATTGTTGGCAGTGCACAAACAAGAAAGAATTCAGTTTGTTTTGCAGATGGTGGCATGTGGAACTGGTCACCATCAGACAGGATATTGGACTAGATATCTTGGGGTAAGATAATAGACTCAAGACACCATCTTTACAAAGTCACTTTTCAGAAAGCATTTACACAGTAAGCTTCCGGTGACAAGTTAATCATCTACGGCAGGGTTTTTACAAGTCCTTAGTGTTAGCCTATATTGGAACTGATTGACGTCTATGGTAAAAGGTCCATAAACGTCATTCAATAGGAGGAGAATTAGCCCATATTACATGTTTTTGAAAAAATCTCACCTTTAAAAGTTAAAATAAAAAACTCTTCCAAATAAATTCCGTATCTGAAATATGTTCATTATATTTAAAGCCAAATACAAATTCATATGAAACAGAATCTGCATATGATAAATTCAGCAACAGGAAAGGATGTGGTCAAAACTAGATTAACACAGAAACTTTTTACTAAGAGCTTACTTAAATGTAAGAAAAACAGAAAAATTAATGTATCTATTTCAGATTAAACTATTTACAGATATCCAAGTGTTCCATGACAAACATGCTACCCAAATAAAAAAGCAGTTTACTGCATTACATGAGCAATATGAAACTTTATATTTTAATATAGATATTTCATCCTTTGTTCAGCTTGACAGATTGACTACAGTAAAATCTCACATAAGGCTTTTAAATTTCCCCAAAGATGATGAAATCCTGGGTAATACAGAAACAATTAATGAATTTATCAGGACGAATTTTTAAATGGAGTCAAATTTTTGTGGTCAGTTTGGGAAATAACCTCCCCCCCAAAAAAGATTTCTCTTTTGGCCATGCACCTGCTTTCCTCCCAATTCTCTATTAATTATACAGAAGACTAAAATGCTTCACTGATGGTCAAACAGTAACATCTCCTTTACTTTCAATAGTAAGACATTTCATTCATCAATAATGAGGCAATCTGCATATCTGGAAATCGTATCTATTCAGAAGTATTGACAAATCAATGTCAGTAATTTCAGGTTGGATCTCACAATACTAAATAGTTTTCCTTATTCCTTAAAAGATCACTTACATTTGCAACATGATTTTGTTCAGAAAGACGCCATCTACCAGATCCATATACATAGACAATGTGTCTTCATTTTCATTCCCTAATGGTCCAAATGTCTTCACCTGTCAGAAAAAGCAGCAGCAGCTATTTTAATAAACCATCACAATTTTCTTACTTAAGAATCTAAATTGCCACAAGACTCATTAGAAACCACCTTCAACCCCACCCCTGACAAAGCAACTACATACTGAGTAGTTTAACAATCTCTGTACATCTTCCAAACACAAAAGGCTCATGTTCAAATAGGCCTTCTAGCATAAAGGGAAGGAAGCAGTCCTGCTGTAAACTGGTTGATTTCAACAGTGGTGAACTTGTTTACACCAGCACTGAATTTAAATCAAAACTGAATGTTTTTCCAACAGCTCTGCCCTAGGAATTATTTGGGGGAAGGTCTTTGGCGTTATGTTACAGAGTAGGTTAGACCAAACAAGAACTGTATGTGTGTTCATAAAAATAAAAGGACAGTGGTTCTTTTTGGGCAACTCTCACCACCAAGCCCAGATATTTGGGGCTGAGGATGCCCTGGCCTATTTGACAACACTGTTCACATTTAAATGAAGATTAAGACAGATTCCTAACTGGTATCTGATGTCAAACCCATAGGGAGACAGTTCCTTGCTCTCATTATATCACTTCAAGATTTCCACAATTCAGGCTCCTTTCCCATCTCCCATTTCAAAAGGTGGAGTTTAACGCTTTCCAGCTCAGATCCACCACGGTCCTTTTTCAGATGTCCTGAATGCATTATTCCAATGATAGCTCTCAACCCGGAATACGGAATCCTGAAAGGCAGTTTTGCTTTGGACCCATCGGAAAGCCAATAAGTAGTAGAATAGCTCCTGTTTGCAAGATGGTCTCCACTCCACACCCCACTCCCTCCAAAGTCAAAGTCTATTTTCTTCTGTGCACCTATTGTTAGCAACACCTCCGAACAAACGGCTTGTTACAAAGGGAACAAGCCGCAGGGTTCGAGAGAGGAAAGTTTCTTTTTGTTTGGTAAGCAGGTCTAGAAGACCCTTCCAGGTCGCCATCACTTGCTTTTATGTAAAGTTGAAAAATAGAGCTACTTTGTAACTGCGGGATCGGAGTAGACGTATTTATTTAAACAAGCAAACAAGGACCCCAAAACCTGCGCGCCCCTGCCAGCCGCCAAAGCCGGGACAATTCAGCCTGGCAGAGAGATCGCTGCGTGAAGTTGCTTTGAAGAATCAGAAAAGAAACGCACTGCTCGAAAAGCAGCGCTGGTTTGTGCGCACAGCGGGACGCGAGCAACTCGCAGCCCTTCGGGGCAGGCAGCCAGGTGCTTCCCGGGGCGCTGGGGGGAACGGGCAGCCCCCGCGCCACGAGGACCTATAACAATACTGCTCCAAACTTACCCAGGTCACCAAAGGGCTCTGCAGGAAGAGCTCCAGGAGCTCGGAAATGGTCACATCCATGTTCCCGGCCGGGGCTCGGCTCACAAAGGCAGCGTGGGAAGGGCTCGCTCACTCGGGAGACAAAGGCGAAGAGCCCATGTCCCGCGGCCCCAGCGCCCGGCTGGAGCTGCTCAGCAGAGAAACAATGCGAAATCCATCTCCCTTTCTCCGGGGGGCACACGGTGTGCAGGGCCGCTTCCCCTGTTTCTAAGGCTGTCCAGCCAGGGATGAGAGCCCCCCGGCTGTAGGGGCTCGCCAGTCACTCCGCCAGCAGGCTGCCGCGCCCGGGAGAGACTCTCCCGCTCCAAACAAACTCGGCGGCAGCAGGTTGCTCGGCGCGCTCAGAGGGGGAGGGAAGGTGCCAAAGGAAGCTCACGAACCTCGCTGCAGCATTGCCAGCGGCGAGCCGGGGACCTTGTGCGCATTACAGGGTCCCGGGAGCGCGCGAGAGGCCATGCAACTCGCAGCCCAGTGCACCAGAGCGAGCTACGCTGCGCCCTTTGCCCCGCGGCTACCTGCAGCAAGCAGGAAAGTCCCTGCGCCAGCAATTAGACCGGGGGCGGGAGGGGAGGTAAGGAGGAGCTTTGACAGGCACCGCCGGCTGCAAATGGGGGGCACGAGAGTGGATTGAAACTGGCCAATAGGAGTTGCCGCTGGCCTAACTTTGGTGTCCGCTGAGCGAGCACAAGTGGTAGGGGGTGATCACTGCTGCGGGGGGGCGCTGCGGTCGATGATTGGGGCGGGTGGCGCGTGGTGGCCTGGCTGGTCTGCGCGCCCGAGTGAAGGATGCCATCGGGGAAACCTGCCTCCAGCTGGCTCCCAGCACTTACCCACCTCTCTCAACTCAGACTGCGGGCGTCGTTGCTGGTGCCCAAAGCTGAGGAAACATCAGTGCCCAGAGCTCGCTGTTGGTTCTTTGCAGAGCATTGAACAGAGGCACTCTATAACCGGGAGGAGCTGAAAGATAAAGGAGGAAAGCGATAGGGGTGTCTGCGTGTGAATCCGGCTCTCATCTCAGCAGAACCCGCATTAACTACAATTTAATTATCAGAGGGAACTGTACATCTACTTGCCCCCATGTAAATGGCCATAACTGTTATTCATCCACTCAGGTAAAAACCCTTGGGCGCGGGGAACAAATAAAATTAGGTCCCTCTCAACTCCAAAATGCAATGGAATAGAAAAAAACAGGAACTGAGGAAAGAGTAGCTGGAGAAGCTCAATGGGGAATTGTGGATTCTGGCTGTGGTCAGAAAACTAGGGTGTATCATTGTAGACACAGAGGCTGAAAAAGCAGGACACTCCTGTGGACACTGGTCCAGCTCTGGGTTCAAGTGTCTGTCCTATATTTTGTGTGTGACATTAGGAAAGTTACATACTTTGTCTGTGCCTTACATTCTCCAAAGCCCACTGAAGTCAGTGAAAATACTCCAATGGGTGCTGAATCAGGCCCTAAACAGGGCTGCTGCTACTTACTCCCTGACAAAGGAATTGTGCATCTAGTTATTTATCAAGTGCTTCAAGCTAGAAGGCAATATAAGTGCCACGTGAAGCAAAGTGAAGACTCTGAAAGCTACTGGGATGTGTTTAAGTGGGCTAAAACAAACGAATCCCTGAGTTATTTTTAAATGTTTTGCTTTGTATGTCAGAAATACTGGGGAAAAAAGCAAGAAACAGAAGGGGGGAAAGCAGAAATTTTGATGCACACTCAAGCAAGTGAAAAGCATAAACTACTGCATCTTTTTAAAATAAATACAAAAATCAGATAGTCAATCCTGGTGCACTGTCCTAGTTGTGTTCTTTAACAACACTTACAAAATATTTACTACTGTCAAATGTTGTAAATTAGGATATGGATGCTGAAATATAGTCTTGGAAAAAGGAAGTCAAAATTATTTTCTTTCAGACAGTATTTAGCCTATTTGAGCTTAAATTCTACATAATTTAACATGCTACATATATTTATCAAATTCAACACGTTGATAATAAGCATTTTAATATATTTAATTCATAGCTTGATAGTTATAATAAGATCTGCCCTCTTCATTGGTTTTCAGGGTCTAAGCTTTCTAGGCCAATGACTGCTTTTATTTTTTTGGTATTTTAGAGGGGTCAAGCATATTGGCAGCAGTAGGCAAATAGGACAGAATACCTCAATATAAGATACAACTTGAAATCATTTTTCTGAATATTTTCCTTGGACAAAGTGGGAGAATATCAGCTGGTTTGAACAATAATGCTGTAGAGTTTGTAAAAAGTCTCCTAAATCTGGGATAGGGAACTTCTGGCTGCTGGCTTACCTGGATCCAGCCCTAAAAGCTCAGGGTTCCCACAGCATTGGGGAGCCTGCTCTGGTGCTCCAACACACAAAAATCTACTAGCCTGGGTCCTCCTAGGCTCTATTGTGGGAGGGCAATGGGGAGAAGTGTCTTTTTCCTCAGAGCCATGTCAGTGAGGGGGCGGGGGATTGTTTTATTTTACTTCTCACTTGTTTATGGCCCCCTATTGATTTTTCTGTGGGTCAGTAGCCCCACACTGAAAAAAAGGTTCCCCACCTTTGTCCTACGTGGTAGCAGCCAGTGTTAATTGCAGAGTCTTGTTCATATCCTGTAAGTTGAGTTTTAGCAGCTCAATTATAGGCAGATAAATAGGATCCTTGATCTCTGGGAGCCTGTTTCTTGTAAAAGTTGATGGCAAAAATCTCCTTGACATGAGTGGAGAAAAAAGGCTAGGTCCAGTGAGACTGGGAGATTTTTCTAATAGGACAGGAGGAAAGAAAACATTCTCTCCAAGTTGGAGAGAGTTGCTGAGACAACATGGGATTGATCACACTCACTCATCTGTCATTTAAAGACTAGGTAAACTAAGTAGAAGATCACTTCCTGTTTGAACAACCTGTGCTGTGCCTACTTCATTAAATCAGCCCAGCTGGAAAACATTTTGTCTACCATTCTCCACTGTACAAAATGTAGTATCTTACTGCTAATCAGTATGCATTTGGACACCTGCACAAATTCAGAGCTATTCTTTCCTGAGGAAAGGGGGTAATAGACACAATTGTAAATTTTGAAACCTCAAATTTGTATGCTGCTAAATTACAACTCCTCCTAAACTCTTGGATGCTTGGCATACTTGATCTTTATGAACTGTCACTTGCATCCCTGTATAACTCTATCTTCCCGATCAAAATGGAATAGCAGTATCTGAACAATAAACAAAAAAGTCAGAAACAGTGGGACACATACCCATCAATGTGCCTTACTTCGTGTCTCAGGCACCTACAAGCCCAACACTGAGGTGGGGAGGGAAATGGAGAAAAGAGCAGAGTTAGTATTTTTCCACAAGTTTTAGAGGCATGGACTGTTACAGTTTAACTTCTTGTACATCTGAAGAAGTGGTTTGTGCCTACAAAAGCTACAGTTTTTGTCAGTCTCTATGGTGCTGCAGGACTATTCACTGTTTTAAGTTTTTTTAGTTACAGACTAACACCCAGTGATCTTCCATACTATTGCTTAGTCTGTTCCTCCACTAACTTGTGAATATTCTCTAGAGGAGGGAACCAGTGATCAGGAAGATATAATTGGCTAAAGATCATGGCCCGGAGTCAAGAATCTTGGATTTTATTTTCAGTTCTGCTTCTGACTGGTGATGTGACCTTGGAACAAGTCATTACATTTCTCTAAGGCATGACTTTCCCATCAATAAAATTGGGGATAATTGCCAAGTTTTGTAAAATGGTATGAAATCCTCATCTGAAAGACACTAGGTAAATGTAAACAGTATCCTTATCAGTCATGACTTGAGTGCACTTCCTTCTGTCCTCACAGAGTCCTAAACTAAAGTAGTCTCTCACAAGATTAGGCAACAAAAATTATTAGAGGTTTGGAAACGGTCCCATATGAAGAGAGATTAAAAATACTTGGACTTTTCATCTCAGAAAAGAGGAGATTAAGGGGGGATATGATAGAGGTCTATAAAATCATGTCTGGTGTGGAAAAAGTGAATAAGGAAAAGCTAGCTATTTACTTATTCCTACAATGTAAGAACTAAGGGTCACCAAATGAAATTAATAGGCAGGAGGTTTAAAACAAACAAAAGGAAATTTTTCTTCACTCGGCGCACAGTCAGCCTCTGGAACTTCTTGCTAGAGGATTTGGTGAAGGCTAGGTCTTTAACAGGGTTCAAAAAAAGAGCTAGATACATTCATGGAAGTTAGGTCCATTAGTGGCTATTAGCTAGGATGGGTAGGAATGGTGTCCCTAGCCTCTGGAGGTGGGTGACAGGGGAGGGATCACATGAGGATTACCTGTTGTGTTCCCTCCCTTTGGGGCATATTGTATTGGCCATTGTCTGCAGACAGGATACTGGGCCAGATGGACCATTGGTCTGACCCAGTATGGCCATTCTTATGATAGCATTTGAGATAACTAACGGGAGCTCTGAAAAAAGGGTCATTATTGAGCACAGACTGATTTTATAATTTGTAGTAATCTAATGGTTCCAAACAAATAAAAGCCTAATCAGCACCTCAGCACCCACTGCATTCTCCATTTGGCCCCTCAAAGAAGCAGGTGCTACGGGTGAAACCTTGGTTTCATGAAATCTGTAGCAAAACTCCCAGAGTCCAGTGAAGCCAGGATTTAAGCCCATGAGTTTCACCTCTATGTATAAGGAGATGAGTTCCATCTAGCGGCACAGAAAGGCATGACATGCTTTCTAGTGGATGTAGAAAGGCACAGCATGCTTGAATTAAAATGTCAAATCAAATAGCTGTGTTGAATTCAAGATAAACACCTGTGGGTAGTAAGTTTTAAAACCATGTACAAAAGACAAGCACCTGTCTAATGAGTCTAATTACAGACATTTTTAAAAAGAGGGAGGAAGAGAGAGGGAGAGAGAGAGATGTTTGGGATGAGTTTTGCAGCCCATGACTTGGAAAGTTTGTTGCTTTCCAACCTCTACCTCTCATCCTGGAACGGAGTCATGAGCTTCAGGACGGGGTCCTCAGGAGTACTCCGTGTTGGTTTAACTCTCCAATGAAAGTCAAGGATAAAATTCCTATTGACTTCCCTGAGGGCAAAAATTAGGTCAACGCTGAGTGCAGTTGAAAATTACATCCCTGGTAAATAAAGACAGGCAAACAGAGGCTCTCCCTTCTTTGGAGTCCTGGATCTGAGGTGATTTTTTTCCCCTTGCCCTTTCTGCTCCAGTTGATTCTGTCTCATGTTTTTGACCCAGCCCTCAAACATAGACATACTGTTTTCCTGTGTTTATTCCCTACCTGTTGGTTGTCACCTGTACAATAGTATAACCCACCTTCTTTGCCTCCTTTTGTATCACCAAAGCAAGAGTTGGCTTGCAGCACCTGCACCCCTATCAAGAATTAAATTTTTGTCTCTGTACAAATAACTAACTGTCTGGTGCTGCTGCTGTATTTAAGCATGAATAGGTTTATGGATAAGCACACCTCTGCTTAGCTCCGTAAGGAAAAGTGTGCACGTTTTTGTATTATGTAATTTTTCTAGTGGTTTGTAAAATTCATTTCTAAATTTT